CCTGAAACATTAACTCTGCTTTCTCTCCACAGATGCTGCCTGAGCTGTTGAATTTTTCCAGCAGTTCTGATTTATTATTTCTGATTTCCAGCATTCACAGCTCTTTGTTTTTTAGCATTTGGGAAAATTTTGGTTGATTAAAGAAAGCCAGCATGGACTTATTAGTGGGAAATTGTCCTTAATTAACTCACTGAAATGTTTTAATGTAGGAACGTAGACAGTTAATGAGGGTAATGCTATTGAAATAGTGTACATGGACCTCCAAAAAGCAATTGATAAAATGCCACATGGCATTTGTGAGCAAAGTTACAGTTCATTGAATGAAAAGAAATGAGAGCAACATGGGTGTGAAATTGGCTGACTGATAAGATACAGAGATCAATGGCCAATGGTTATTTTTGACTGGTATAAGGTTTATAGGGGTGTTAAGACCCTGCTCTTCATGATTTGAATTAATGACTTAGATCTTTGTGTACAAGACACAATTTCAAAACTTAATGATGATACAAAACTTGGAAATGCTGTGTACTTTGACAAGGGTGATGTAGAAATTCAAAAGTGTATTGACAAATTGGCATAAGTTGCAGATGATGTTCAGAGCAGAGAAGTGTGAGATGATACACTGTCTTAGGAAGATCGTGGAGAACTGATACAAAGTAAAGGGTAGAGCTCTAAATGAGGTACAAGGGTAGAGAGAAGCATATGGGATCATGAGTGTTATAAATAAGGACATAAAATACAAAAGGTTGGAAGTTATGTTCAACGTACATAAATCACAGGGTTGGCCTCAACTGAAGTATTGTGTCATGTTCTGGATAAATGTCAGCAAATTGAAATTTGGAAAAGATTCACAAGAATGATTCTAGGGAGCAGAAGCCTCAGTCATGTGAATAAATTGAAAAATATTGAGACTGTTTTCCTTGGAGAAGAGACATTAAGATGAGATTTGATACAGGCATTAAAAACCATTAGGGGTCTGAACAGCGTAGATGGGGGGAAATGGTTACAATTTGTGGAAGAATTGTATTTGAGGACACATATGTAATATGTAACGTAGTTGTAAAAGAAAACAATGGTAATATATGGAGAAACTTTTTCCTGCTGTGAGAGGTGGGAGTTGTGGGGTATGATTTGATGTGGGGAACAATGAGAAGCCTTTCAGCAGGACTGGCCTTTGTTAATGTTGGTGGCCCAGTGTTGAGCACAGTTTGCCAATCTGACCCAGCCCACCCCCAAACCCGATCCATGCTCAAGCCCTAACTGGCCTGACCCTGACCCAGCCCTGAATCCACAATCCGGTGGTTCCCCTCCTTATGATTTCATAAAGCTCTATAAGGTCACCCCTCAGCCTCTGACACTCTGAGGAAAATAGCCCCAGCTTTTTCAGCCTCTGCCTTTAGCTCACACCTTCCAACCCCAGCAACATCCTTGTAAGTCTTTACTGGACCCTTTCAAGTTTAATAACATCTTTCCTATGGCAGGGAGTCCAGAACTGCATGCAGTATTCCAAAAGTAGCTGACCATTTCCTGCACAGCTGCAACATGATATCCTAATTCCTATACTCAATGCATTGACCAATAAAATCAAGCATACCAAACACCTTCTTCACCACCCTGTCTACCTGTGATTCCACTTTCAAGGAACTATGAACCTGCACCCCAAGGTATCTTTGTTTAGCAAAATTCTCAGGACCTTACCATTAAGTGTATAACTTTTGCCCTGATGTGCCTCTCCAAAATGCAACACCACATATTTATCTAAATTAAACTCCATCTGCCACTTTTCAGCCCATCGGCCCATCTGATTAAGGTCCTGTTGTACTCTGAGCTAACCTTCTTCATTGTCCACTACCCCACCAATTCTGGTGTCAAGTGCAAACTTCCTACCAATTCCTCCTTTATTCACATCCAATTAATTTATGTAAATGACAAAAAACAGCAGACCCAGCACCAATCCTTGTAGCACCCCACTAGTCAAAGGCCTCCTGTCTGAAAAACAATATCCATTACCACCCTCTCTCTCCTACCTTCAAACAAATTTTGTATCTAAATGGCTAGCTCTCCCTGGATCCCATGTAATCTAACCTTGCTATCCAGGTGTAACCTCGTCGAACACCTCGCTGAAATCCATATAGACAAAGTCCACCACTCGGCCTTCATCAGTCTTCTTTGCCAATTCTTCAAAAAAGCTCAACCAAGTTAGTGAGACATGAGTTCCCATGCACAAAGTCATGTTGACTATCCCTAATCAGCCCTTGCCTTTCCAAATACATGTAAATCCAATCCATCAGGATCCCCTCCAACAGCTTACCCACTACTGACATCAGGCTCACCGGTCTGTAGTTCCCTGGCTTTTTCTTACCACCTTTCTTAAATAATGGCACCACATCAACCACCCTCCAGTCTTCAGGCACCTCACCTGTGGCTATTGATAATACAAATATCTCACCAACGGATCCAGCAATCACTTCCCCAGCTTCCCACAAAGTTCAGGGATACACCTGATCAGGTCCTGGGGATTTAGCCACCTTCATGCGTCTTAAGACGTCCAGCACCTCGTCCTCTGGAATATGGACATGTTTCAAGATATCACTATTTATTTCTCCAAGTTACCTAGCTTCCATGTCTTTCTCCTCAGTAAACAATGACTGAAAATACTTTAGTATCTCACCCATCTCCCACAGCTCCACACATAGGTGGCCTTGATGATCTTTAAGGAACCCTGTTCTCTGCCTAGTTACTCTTTTGCCCTTAATGTATTTGTAGAATCTCTTTGGATTCTCCTTAACTCTATTTGTCAATGTTATCTCATGTCCCCTTTTTGCCCTCCTGATTTCCCTCTTGAATATACTTCTACTGCCTTTATACTCCTCTAGGGATTCACCTCGTCGCAGCTGTCTATACCTGCCATTTGTCTCCTTTTTCTTGACCAGAGCCTCAATTTCTCTAGTTATTCATTATTCTCTACACCTACCAGCCTTGCCCTTCACACTAACGGAAACATAGCGCTTCTGGACTCTTGTTGTCTCCTTTTTGAAGGTCTCCCACTTTCTACCCATTATTTTACCTGCAAATAGTCCATCCCAATCAACATTTGAAAGTTTTTGCCCAATATCATCAAAATTGGACCCTTATTTCAATTTGGAACTTTATTTTTTAAATCAGGTCTATCCTTTTCCATAATTATTTTAAAACTAATAGAATTATGATCACTGGTCCTTCTGAGTCACAATTAGCCTTGTAACCGGCAGCCAGTCTTAACCTTCTCTGCCCCTGACATCGTGTGAGTCAGGAAGGAAAGGGGCTGTCCCATAATAAGACCATGCTTCTTGCCTCCATCCCTCCAGCCCCCACTCCAACCTGTCTCCCAGCCCAGTCCCAGGACTGCAAACACAGTCATTAATTTCTGCTCATTGGATTATATTGAATCATTGAATATACACCTGCCATTCGATTGATCATGACTGATCTGATGATCCTTAACTCGGCTTCGCTGCCTTTTCCCCATAACCCTCAATACCTTTACTGATTAAAACCTGTCCGTCTCAGCATGGAATATCCAGTAATCCAGCCTTGACAGCACGCTGCAGTAGAATCCTACATTAAATTAACATAAAAACATAATACCATATGACACAGAAGCAGAAGTAGGCCATTCAGTCCAATGAGTCTGCCCCGCTGTCTTCGATCACAGCGTGTATCCAAACAATTCTTTTTGGATTCAGTTAAATGTAGTTAGGAGAAGATTCGACAACAGCAATTTGCTCAAATATGAACATTTATTGAGTAATAATAAAAGATGGAAGAAGAAAGGAACATTTATTAAGTAAACAAAGAAATGAAAAAGAAAGGAAATAAACAATAAGTCTAATGCCCTTCTGCCCATCGAGGACCCCTCAATCGATGGCTAGTCCGAAGGCTGAGTTTGTTCCTGGCACCATTTGCGACCCTGGTCCGAAGTGAAGTCCAGTGACTTGGAACAAAACTCTCTCTCTTATATAATGTAACAAACAGCAAGGCACAAAAAAAAACTACAAAAAAACACACTGATTACACCATCTTTGGCACATACAGGAATGTCCACATGACTCATTCAAGGTCATGCACTTGTCAAATATCATCAACGAGTTTAGCCCTTCAGCCCATCCTGTACACCTGCCATTCAATCAGATCGTGACTCAAGTGATGATCCTCAACTCGACTTCGCTGCCTTTTCCCCATAATCCTTGATACCTTTACTAATTAAAACCTGTCTTTCTCAGCATTGAATATCCAGTAATCCAGCCTTGACAGCGCCCTGCAGTAGAGTCCTACAGATTCATTACCTTCTGAGAGAAGAAATTCCTCCTGAGCTCAGTCTTAAATGGGCAACCCCTTCAACAAAAGGCCCTCTGGTTGTAGCCTCTCACACTCAAATGCAAAGTATCCCCATATACTTGACCTCCATCTATTTCAAGCACAATTTCCTTATTTATAACACCAGAAATAAGAAGGCTAATTATTTGAGAACTGTCCACTTTCACCTGGCAAGAGCTCAATTCAGGTTCTGTGTGATATTTGGGAATTGTCTGATCAAGATATTTGATCCTGGAAGGGATTAGTTACAATATTAGTCACAGCACCTCTGTGTTTTAGCAAATGAAGACTGAAAAACCGTTAGCGTCTCTGTTTCTGGATGGATTCTGCTGCCTGGACTGGGGTAATTCTGGAGTGGTCAGCTTTCCAATGGAACAGTAGGGTGGTTGTCACCAATGTTTACTACCCAATGCATACAGCCTAGCTCACCCGTAACAGATGCTTCAATCCTAAGGATTTGGGAAAAGGACTGTTATCCTTCCATTTCATCCTACCATTTAGACTATTGACCCAGACCCATTGATTTGGCCTCCATTACTCTGGATTTAATTTTGACATGTTGCTGTACTTTTAACTTAAATATAAATAATTTCCAATGCTTTACATTCTACATGGATTTAGTTTAATGCTTTCTTTCCCTACAGGTATATTGCAACTGGCCAGATCATTCAATGTTGATGTGAAAAATCCGATGGTATTTACTGGTTCCCAAGGAGATATGTTTGGATATGCTGTTAAACAATTTGAAAATAGTGAAGGGAAATGGTAAGCAGAGTTTGATTTTTAACAATTTTAGAACTTATTCTGCTTTTATAAAAAAGGTTCCAAACATTGGCATTGTTTGAAGTAACAAGGAGATGGGCACAATAATATGCACTTTAAACAGCACCACCTGCAGTGGCATTGTATAGGTATACTGACCTGCCTAGATAACATAGTCATCTCTTTCACATAACTTAGTGGTGCTTCAAATACTTCAGGAGTCACTGAACAAGACACCAGTAGCCATTAAAGGTGTACGCATGATATAGGGAATTAATTCATAAGTCATTTCAGTGCATCAGACACCGACCATTGGATTACTAGTCCAAGGTAAATTAAAATGGCAATGTGTTACATCTTTTAAAAATTATTCTTTCATAGGACATGGAAGTCATTCGATGGACCAAAATTTGTTGCCTATCACTAATTACCTTTTAGAAGTTGGCACTGAAAGACCCTTTTGAACTGTTGCAGTCCATTAGGTGCTAGGTAAACCCAAATGCAGTTAGGAAGGGACTACTGCAATATTGACCTAGTCGCTGTGAAGGAACAACAATATAATTCCAAGTTAGGGAATGTGCATTTTGAAAAGAAACTTGAAGATGGTGATACTCCCATATATGTCCTGCCCTTGTCCTTTCTTTTCATGGGCTGAATTATTTGCAACTCATGTTTTTCATGTTTTCTGATACGACTGATGGTTTGAAATATTGTACTATTATAAAATTGTACACTTGATGACTGCAATACCTTTCTTCTGCTCTGCAGTGTCTGTTATTTTGTTTTATTCCTGTCTAGTTGGAAGTAAACATCTGTAAGATACTGTTGATGCTTAATTAATAAGTCCTGATGTTTTGTCTCTGATCCACAGATAATCAAACAAGACTTAAATTTTTAATTAATACCTCCTTAAAATACTTAGCAAACCTGGCATGTTAAGAAGAAAAAACATGTATAAGAAATAATTACTTACCGCCCCTATCTTATGTCGTAATTATTACATAACCCAATGAGCAGTCTGTATGTTTAATTTGATGTTTTATCCTTTCATCAGGGCTGAAGGCTTGTTGTGCAAACTTACATTCAATGTCTGTAAGAAACTCACCACAAAGACAGCACTTTATAAAAAGTAGAGTACAAATTTAAGAGAAGGGGCTGGGTGTGGGGGGATTCCTGAAGAATGAAGCTACAAAGAGGAAACAAAATCATTGTCAGGTTTTAAAGTAAAATCATTGATAAGGAAATCAGTGCTCACCATTATTGCTACCTAAATTTAACAGTATAATCTAGCAACTACACATGCGCAGTTAAATGTGAGAGAGAAATATAAGGTAACATGCAGGACAGTATTGTAGTCCACCTGGCTTTGAAATGAATCCAACAGCAAGACCATGTGGCAATTACCTATTTATATTGCATTAAAAATGCCCAGTAAAGTTAAAGATGGTGCATACAGAACAAATGTTGCGTTAAAAGATGATGACTGCTGGACAATATCTCTAACCTGGAAATTTAAGTTGACAAGTGTGATTCCTCATTTCCTCATAAGAATGTGAGTGTTGGAAATTTAAAAGTTCCTATTTTTCGGTATATCTCTTTTATCTTTCTTCCTTAATCCCACCTGAATTTCCCAATCTTTATTTCACATCCTGTATTTCATTTCAGCCAACTTATGTATTCTGCTTTATCCTTCATAGTTTGATTTTATATGATTTTATTTGATTTGATTTGAGATACAGAGATGAATGTACCAAGATACAGTGAAAAATGTTGTTTTGTGTGCTACACAGTCAGATCGTATCATACAATGTGCATCAGGGTAGCAGAATATTGTGCAGGATATAGTATTACAGCTGCAGAGAAGGTGCAGAGAGAGTTAATGGAGCAACAGGGTCCTTGTCTGCCGGGTGGAGAGTCAGTGAAAGCCCAACATCGCTCATTATGGAAGGCTTGCCATATGAAATGCCACTCAGGCTCTTAAATAGCCAGCAGCAAGTCTTTAGCCATGATCAAGGACCCCCAGGCAGATGTTCTGGTGCAGTTCTGGTTGCCACACTTCAGGAAGGATGTGGAGGCTTTGGACAGGGTGTAAACAAGGCTCACTGGGATGTCACCTGGATTGGAGAGTAGTAGCCATAAGGAGAATTTGGATAAATTTGGTTTGTTTACGCAAAAACATAGGATGCTGAGGGGGTGAACTGATAGAAGTGTATAAAATTATGAGAGGCCTGTACAGGATAGATAGTCAGAGTCATTTTCCCAAGGTAGAAATGTCAAATACTATGGGACATAGGTTTAAGATGAGAGGGGAAAAGTTAAGAGGTGATATGTGAGGCAAGTTTTTTTTACACAGAGGGTCATAGGTACCTGGAATGTGCTGGCAAGGGAAGCTTGATTTGATTTATTATTGTCACATGTACCGAGGTATAGTGAAAGGTTTTGTTTTACATGCAGTACAGGCAGATTTTTCTTTATTCATTAACAGGATGAGGGCATCATTGGCTAGGCAGCATTTATTGCCCATCCCTAATTGATCAGAGGGCAGTTGAGAGTCAGCCACATTGCAGTGGGTCTGGAGTCACATGTAGGCCAGACCAGGTAAGGATGGCAGTAGCCATCCCTAAAGGACATTATTGAACCAGATGGGTTTTTCCGACAATCGGCAATGGATTCATGGTCATCATTAGATTTTTAATTCCAGATATTTTATTGAATTCAAATTCTACCATCTGCTGTGGTGGAATTCAAACCTGGGTCACCAGAATGTTATCTGGGTCTCTGGATTAACAGTACAGTGTTAACGCCACTACGCCATTGCCTCCTGAATCATAAGATGCAAAGTGCATAGGGGTAATAGAACAGAGCGAGGAATACAATGTTACAGCTGCAGAGAAGGTGCACAAAGAAGGAGATCATCATTAAATTTGAATATAGAGAGGCCCATTGAGAAGTCTAATAACAGAAGGGAAGAAACTGTTCTTGAATCTGTTGGTACGTCTGTTTAAGCTTTTGAATCTTCTGTCCGACGGAAGGGAGTGGAAGAGATTATGGTCGGGGTGGGAGGGGTCTTTAACGATTTGGCTGCCCTTCTGAGACAGCGTGAAGTATAAATGGATTAAATGGATGGAAGGTTGGCTTGTGTGATGTACTGGGCTACGTCCACAGCTCTTTGTAGTTTGTTCTGGTCCTGGGCAGACCAGTTGCCATACCAAACCGTGATGCATCCAGATAGCATGTTTTTGATGGTGCATCAATAAAAATTGGTAAGAATCCTTATGGACATGCTGAAGTAGTAGAAGTAGATATGTTAGCAAAGTTTGAGAGGAATTTAGACAGACACATGAACAGACAAGGATTAGAGGGACATGGATCGTGTGCAGACAGATGGGATTAGTGTTTGGAATGGCATCATGGCTGACACAGGCATGGTGGGCCAAAGGGCTTGTTCCTGTGCTGTATTGTTCTATGGTTTATATAAGCCTGATCTGCTAGACAATCAGAAGCTGGTGGCTCTATTGAGACAAGGAAATAGAGGCTGTTGGTTGTTATGACAACCAGTAAGCACTAGTATCATCACTGGCTCTCTGACCACAGATGAAAGATGGCAGGAGGGCAATTATGGTAGAGGTCACAGATTGCAGTTTGTGGGGGAGGAGTGTTAACAGGAAGTAAAGGGATTGTTCTCAGGGGACCCTCCTTTCCCAATGTCAGGTCTCTTCCTCAGGCACTTAGTACCTTTGAAAAGGGACCTGCTGGAAGTCCAGAAGCAACAATGCACACATTTGGTTTAGTTCCAAATCTTCCACTGGGTTAATATCAATAGCATTGTGATGAGGCCTTTAACTGGATATCTATTACCCACTTTCGGGCCTCAGTTAGCAGTGATGCAGTAAAACTGTTCATGCCCCTCCTCAGGATGAAGTTAATTGGTGTGGCGCTGAAAGGGGGTAAGTCCCCATTTTCCACCATTGTATCTGACTAAATGCCCTTGTCACCAAACTCACCATGGTGGGGCGTGGAATTACCCTATGTGTATCAGTCACATTTCTTCAGTATGATTCATTGAAGAGCCTTATTTTATTGAGTTATATTCTCAAATATAACAAATCCAGAGGATGCCATTGTAGATTAAACACTGGATTAAAATAAGCCTATTCTCTAAAGACAGCAAAACACGCAGACAACTGTCATTGGTGAATAATATATACAGTTTCTTCACTGCTGACTGAAAACTGCTCCTGTGGAGATTTTGAAAGCATAGAGGGAGTCAATAAAATAAGGAAATTTTGTGTGAGAGATTGGGGAATTAGAACACAGCTATTGAAGAATGACAAACAGAAAAAGTGATGAATACATCATGTTTCTGTGTGGTATCAAGTATCCCCAGGAAAACTGGAGTCAATGGGTATCAGGGGCAAACTCTATGCTGATTGGAAACATACTTGGCACATGGGAAGATGGTTGTGGTTGTTAGGGGTCAGTCATCTCAGCTCCAGGACATCTCTGCAGGAGTTTCTCAGGGTAGTTTCCTAGGTCCAACCACCTTCAGCTGCTTCATCAATGACCCTCCCTCCATCGTAAAGTCAGAAGTGGGGATGTTTGCTGATGATTGCACAATGTTCAGCACCATTTGCCACTTATCAGATACTGAAGAAGTCCACGTTCAAATGATCTATGTTTCTACGTAGCAAGACCTGGGCAATATTCAGGCTTGGGCTGACAAGTGGTAAGTGAGATTCACGCCACACAAATTCCAGGCAACAACCATTTCCAAATAGGGAGAATCTACTCATCATTCCTTGACAGTGTTACCATCACTGAATGCCCCACTGTCAATATCCTGTGGGCCACCATTGATCAAAAACTCAATTAGACTCACCATATAAATACAGTAGCTACAAGAGCATGTCAGTAACTCATCTCCTGACTTCCTAAAGCCTGTACATCATCTACAAGGCATAAGTCAGGAGTGTAATGGAATATTCCCTACTTGCCTGGATGGG